TATATGGATTCAATGCTTAAACTTCCATTAAGTCTTTTTGCTCTCATTTAACTCTACAGCAAACAATTATGAAATCTCCAATAAAGCAGGAAGAAAGATTTTTAAGATTAAAAAAGCGGGGTTTCTTTTAATAAATTAAAAATTTTTTAAATCTAAAAAAGCATTGAAATAATTTTAATATAATTTTAATTTAGTTCTAAAATATTTTTAATATATCTTGAGAACTAGTATCATAAAGTGTAAAATACTGATACAATTTGAAAAGATGAACAAAATCATGATTTAATTTTTGGATACATTCATGAGAAAGTCTCAAATGAATATTTTAGTGATTACTTTTTTCTTTAAACATTTAGCATAACTGTATTCCTCAAGCATAAAAATGTTATCAATCTAATTACTACTACAAGGGTCATTCAAGATTAAACAAGACTTTTGGGCCTATAATTTTGAAGAGTAACTGTAGAATGATAAAATCCAGAGAGAGAGTAGCATTATCCATCCCAAGATTTCAGTAGCAAGCATGACGTATTTTGTACATGTGTAACAGTTTTAGCAATCATGGCAGAAGGTAATGTGTCCGTAACAATGGAACAGCAGTGCATAATAAAATTTCTAATGAAGGAAAAGGTTAAACCTGCTGAAATTTCAAGAAGATTGAGTACACAGTATGGGAACAAATGCTATCACAGGCAAGAGTGTACAAATGGTGTCAACAATTTGGTGAAGGACGAGAGCTGGTGACAAATGAAGCACATGGACATGTTCAACCGACTGCAGTAATGCCAGTGGATTTTCTAAAGAAAGGGGCCACAATTAATGCCCAGTATTATACCAAATTGATTACAGTGCCATACAAAATGCCATTCACAAGAAAAGATCTGGAATGTTGTCTGGGTAAAGTAATTCTTCTTCATGATAATGCGTGACTGCATACAACCAATCAGTCCAGACTTAGCTCCCAGTGATTATCATTTGTTTGGGTCCCTTAAAAAACACCTGGGAGGAACAAAATTCCAGACAGATGATGAACTGCAACAAGTTGTCCTGTGCTGGCTAAGTCAGCTCACTTCTTTCTACGAGAAAGGTATCAGGGACCTACCCCACCACTGGGAACAGTGTCTACATACAGATGAAGAGTATTTCAAAAACTTGACATAGTTTATACATGTTTTGGACATTCCTTTTGGTCTATAGAAACAAAAATCTTGTTTAACCTTGAATGACCCTTGTAAAAGATGTTTGCAAGCATAACTTATTTTAATAAAATACATTCTATCATGCTAAAAATGAAGCATATAAAACTTAGTTTCTTTTTATTAAGATTAAAAATGTTTGAAAAAGTAAGCATATAAATAATTATAATTATATGTATTAGTTCATTTTCAACATCAAAATCTTAAAAAATGAAAATTTTCTTATGTTAATCAAATTTAAGTAGCATTTACATGAATAAAACACATTTGAAATTCATCATTATTGAAAAAAAAGCTTTATTTGTAATTGACTGTAAAAAGATACAGGAAATTCTCTAATTCCAAAATCTTTATATAGAAAATTTATCCTTATATCAAACATATGACCCTAGGCAAATATAGTATACAAACATATGCATCCATTTGCAGAGAGTTTACATTAAACATCAATTAACAGCCAAATGGTGTCTAGATATTGGCTGGCTGCACTGCAGTTTAAAACAATTGTCTACTTCTGAATGCTGTTTAAACGAATCCTGACAAAACGTCTTTGGCTATTACTTTCTTCACTGTTACTATTAGTTCATTTGTTTGTGATGTCAGAAAAATGGCAACTAACAACATGCCAAAAACATGCAAGAGTTTTTTCCAAAGACAAAAAAAGTGTTCCTGGAAATAATAAAAAATTATCCTGCAGTTGAGAAAAAGGATACAATAATCATACTCTGGTAATGAAAAAAAATTGCATAGGAGAGAATACAAAGCAAATTTTCATCATTTCCTTGTCAATTTGCTCACAACATAGAACAATTGAAAGAAGTATAATCTTAAATGAATATTTTATATTTATAAGATGTTATTATTAATGTTAAAAATTTTAACTATCATCATAGNAGCCGTAACCAAATAAACCGAACTAATTCTAATAATTTTTTTATAAATTCGCTATTTACGAGAAGAAAGTCCCACGTATGTATAGACATTCTGATAATGTTCTTAAAATTGGTTTTACTACGTATATTTTTGAAATTGATAATTAATAACGCTGGGTGTAACAATTACTGCAAGGAATACTTTATGAACAAGCTAGTTTAAAATAAAATGAAACATTAGAGATCTCTTGGGGATTAAGAAAAGAGAAATCTGATGACAAAGGAGATGGGCACGTGCTCCAAGTGCCCCAATGCACGGGCGCCCATGCTGTAATTACTTATATTTTATGACAATATCAATATTGTCCTTGTCAATATATGAAAGAGATTGATATATTAGAGTTTTTTAAACCTATGTATAAGATAAAGAAAGATAAAGAATTACGAACTTTTAAATCACGATATAACAGTCTTTAAAATGTTTTTGAAAATCGAGTACTGTAATTTATGTAATAAATATAAATGAGAATGTGCTTTCAGACTGATGAGTACAAAAGTCTAAGAATTAAAATAATGAAAATATATTTTGAAAAGAAACTTCTATAAGAGTAAAGAAAAGCTTTGTTTAAAACTTTTTATAAATAAGTATAGAAAACAAGATATTACAAATAAACAATTTTATAAATCTTCAAATCTGATTCTCTTTTAATGAAAAGGATATTAAATCCGTAGAGAATAAAAATTCTGTTAAAATTTCTCAAAACTGATAAAATTTTACGTAAAATGTCAAAAATGCTAAGCTAAACTTTTGAAATATTCAAAGCTGACTGGATGGTAACGCAATAAAGTATTCTGTATTGATGTTAGGGAAGGAGAATCCCTCACGATTCGGATATTCACAGTTTTCCAAAAGCTCTTTTAGTTGGGACGTCATTTCCAATCGTTTAGCGATACTAACCAATTGAATTGTGAATCTGATCTGTACATAATGGGCAAAATGAGGCTAGCCATTTTAGCTTATTGTATTCTGATTCTACGTGAAATTTTATTTTGTGAGCACTCTCCTATTAGATTGGATTTATATCCTACTTGATATAAGATGCTCATAAATTAATATTATGTAAGTCATTTCAATAATCTAAAAATGTAATTACTACTTGAAACATTTCTGGAGTATGTTGCTCATTGCTTTATAACAGTTGCTACTATTATATTATTGCTGTTTACTTGCATTACCAAGGTAATTGTAATAAACAATGTAATAATACTTATAATATTTGACAAGAAAGAAATGCTTTTCATAATTTATTTCTAACTATTATCAGACCGAGAATAAGACTTTCATATCATAGGCTATGCTATAATAGCAGAAACTGAAATGAAAGGTAAGTTATTTGATTACAATTGAAAAACTAATTTACTATTTAGTAATATAGGCCTACATATTAGATATTTTTATAAGCTAAGAAAATAAAATGATGGTAGTTTAACCTTATGAATTATCTGAAAATGATAAAATTTTAAGATAAAGAATGCACTTTGCTAATGTTTTTTACAATTAAAATGTTTAATGACAGAAATTATTTAAATAAAAAATGTATTATTCTTGTTTTGTTTGTTATTCTACTTACACAGAATAAAAGTTTTTCTGATTTGCTTATGATAAATAACTAGAAATCCCATACCATCTAAATTAGTAATCAGCTGGAAGAAAAGTATTCCAATAATAAAATTATTTTCATAAAATAAATAATTTTGTTCGAATATTTTTTTCTATTTGATATTTAATATTTATTTTTATTTTTATAAACAAATAAATAATATTTTTACAAATTATCAGTTATAAATAAATTTATAACTGATAATGCCAAGTGCTTTTTCCACAAAATACAAAATATCGTTTTAAGCACAAATAAATCTCTAAATAATATAAAAGGCTTTTAAGAAAGTTCATTTGAAACATTCCTATCTATTTTTTTATAACAAAACTAAATAAAAATTGATATAAAGAACTTTAAGTGAAGAGATAATTATTATACTGTTGTTAATAATATACTGAAATTTATATAGTCAATTATTTTAAATTACATTCAAGACAATTAATTTAATAATATAAGCACACGATTGTTTTCTTTCATACAGTATCTCTGCTGTTATAATGGGATCTCGACATTACAGA